ATAAGCCAGTCAGAGAAAGAAAAATACCATAAAATTTCACTCATATGTGGAATCTAATGAACAAATTGAACTAATAAGGAAAATGGGGACAGACTCATATATGAAGAACAGGATGACAGCTATTGAGTGGGGAAGTTAGGGGGTGGAAAGATTGAGCACAAAGGAAAATGTATTCATGGAGATGGGCAATAGTGTGGTGATGGTTGGGGTTGGGAGGTATAAAGAGACTGAATGGTGAAGAAAAAATACGATGAAAATTAAATAAAAATGAAAAATGATGAGCTATAGCTTGGGATAAAATATTTGTGAATTACATTTCTGACAAAGGATTTATACCTAGGATACCTAAAACTCTCATAACTTGGTAAAATAAGCCATACAAATTTACAGAAAATAAAAGATTTGAATAGACACTTCATCAAAGAACACATGTGGAAGAACACATTACACACATAATAAGAACATATTACACACATAATAAGTATATAAAAAGACATTAAATATAAGTAGTCATTAGAGAAAACAAGTTAAAGCCACAATAAGATTTTAATTGCATTTTACTACTACACACCTTTCAGAACAGCTAAAATTTAACACTGATTATGGCAAGTGTTGGCAATAACGTGGAAAACTTAAATGCATATACTGCTTTTGGGAATGTCAAAGCCCAATCACTTTGGAAGAGTCTGGCAGTTTCTTAAAACATATACATGCCATATAATCAAGTCACTCTATTCATCAATATTTATCCAAGATAACAAAAGTATGTGTCCATTTAAATGCAGACCAATGTTCCTGGAAGCTTTATTTGTATTAGCTAAAAATTGGAAACAACACAAATGTTCATCATCAGCTGATAAATAATGATAGATAACCTAATTATTGTACATATATACAACAAAATTCTATCCCATGATAAAAATAAATTAACACAAAAATATTGATGAATCCCAAAATAATTATGCTAAGTGAAAAAAGACAGACAATAAAATTACATCTTATATGATTTCATTTATATAAAATTCTGTGAAGTGCAAATTAACTTACAGTGACAACAGGTCAATGGTCATTGAAAGAATACAAGGTGAGCGAGAAAGATTACACACACTTGGAGAAAGGGACACACACTTGGATTTAGCTGATATACAGTAACTTTATTGTGGTGATGGTGATGATTTCATTAGTGTTTATAAGTGTCCGAAATTACCAAACTGTGTGCTTTAAATATGTGCAGTTTCTTGTGTGTCAATTACATCTCATTAAAGCAAGTAAGAAAAGATTTTCACATGAAAAAATATTTTTAAAGAAGCCCCTACAACTGGAACTTAAAAACAATCTCTATTAAGTAATACTTGGATAATAATAAAATATAAACAAAAACAGAATAGTGAAGAAAAGAATAATCAAAACACTGTATCTCACCTATAAGAAATGTTTAAAGCAGTGATCGGAGGAAATTATGGTCATAAACACCTATATCTCCAAAAACAAAAGGATGAAAATAATTTAATTAAAATTTTACCACAAAAGCCAAAAAATAAAGTAAAATAAAATAAACCCCTAGCAATCTCTCAAAACAAAAAGCAAAAGAAAGGAAATAATAAATCTAAGGATATAAATAGTTGAAATACACCTTAGGAAGGTGTAAAACTAAATAATGAATTAAAATCACAGGTTTCTGTAAATTAACAATATAGACAAAACATTAGGTAATCTAATTCAAATTAAAAACAAGAAAAATAAATATATGTAAAAAATTAACAAAGAAGAAATAATCATTAACATATAGGAAAGTTTTTTTAAAGAAATACCTACATTTCACACATATATGCAAATAAACTGGGTGCAAGAAGAAGGAGATTGAACAAAAGTTCAGTGATTGTGCATTTTATATGGTTTTAAATATAGAATTATGTTAATATTTTACATATTCAAAGAATAAAGCAGAAATAATATGAGGAAAAATATATTTATATCATCTTAGTATCTCCCAACAAATTACTTATTAATTATAAAATTAAAAAGTAATAACTTTATAATGGGCAAACCTGGATTAAGACATCTTAACGAAGTAATCAATGTTAGTATGATCAATAATGGGGAAAAAGCAGTGTCATGGCCCCCTTATGTATTTCACTGACAAGGACAAAAATCATTGAAGTAGTGTTTCTGCCAAAACTGCATTAACTTGGTCTAACTCACGGGAGACAGCAGGCCAACCCAAACTGTGGACATTCTAAAACATAAAAATCCTGTAGTTTTAAAAGATGTCCGCATTATATAATACAAAAGAAGATTGAGGAAATTGTTCCAGATTAAAATGGAAAGGGTGATGCTGGATTGAATCCTGGGCTGGAAAACATAATTGGTATAAAGGACACTATTTGAACGCTAGAAGAAATTAGAATAAAACTGTTGATTAGCTTATTAGTATTGCATACACATTAACTTTCATGATTTGTAACTCCTGTGTTCCTTTCAGAGCATTTCCTTATTATGAAGCAGTAAACAGGCACAATGTAATGCAACTTACCAATGGAGAGAGAGAGCTGGAGCGAGAGAATGATAAGGCTAATGTGGCAAAATGTTAACCATGGCATCATCTTCCACTCTCCAGCCTGGCATGGTCAAGACAACAAATAGGTGGTATTCCCAGTACATACCTGGTACCATTGGAAGCAAAACAGACTTCATTTTCAAATAACTGTGAGTTTTGTTTTGATCTGCCTGGTGGCTCCTTGAAGAACTGTCTCAAAGGACTTGCCTTATTCCACTTAGAAAATTCCAAGGGTTGAGGCAGCTACCTAGGGAGAATTTGTCAAAAACATTTACAAAAATGTATTAGATGCTGCTTCCTGAGCCATAGAGGAATAGTTGGGGAAAATAATAGACCAAACTAAAAACCTGCAAGGAAAGGCTGGAGTATGAGATACTTCGGGGGAATAAGGACTTTGAAAATCTGCCACATAGTTCTGACAGTTTAGAAGGCCATGACATACTTGGGCCTATGCACATGCTCAGAAAAGACCAGAAAGGGCCCTAAACTCTCACCTCTGGCTGATCATCAGTCTCTGCATAAGCAGGAAATGAAGGCTACGGCAGAGTTGTAAATTGTCTAGCTGAGTGTTGAATGCAGTCCCAACATACACACACGCACATACACACACACTCTCCATTTACAAAAGACTGGGAGAATTTGTTCTTAGTTCCAGTGTTTAAATTAATTTCTGTTGAATCACTAGCTGACCATTAATCTAACAGAGCAGACTTTAGTGACCATGTATGACAAAAGATACAAGCTTTACAAAACTACTTCAGAAAAGTCACAAAACAAATAACAAGGAAAAAGTAAATCAAAACGACAGTGAGATGCCACTCCACACCCACTAAAATGGCTATCAATTAAAAAAAAAAACTAACAAGTGTTGATGATAATGTGGAGAAACTGGAATTCTCTTATATTTCTTGTAGAAACGTAAAATGGTGTATCAATTGTGGGGAAAGTATTTTGGCAGTTTCTCACAAAGTTAAACACAGAATTACCATATAGCCCAGAAATTCCACTCCTAAATATTGAGCATTAAAAACCTATGTTCAAATGAAAAAAATGTGTATACATATTTTTAGAGAGAACTATTCATAATAACCAAAAAGTAGAAATAACCTAAATGTTCATCAAAATGAACAAACAAAATATAGTATATCTATGCGGTAGACTATTAATTAGCTTTAAAAAGAATGAAGTACATTAATACATGTTATGACATGGATAAATCTCGAAAATACTATGCTAAATGAAAAAAGCCAGACATGAAAGGTCACATATCATGTGATTTCATTTACATGACATGTCCAGAATAGGCAAATCCATGAAAACAGAAAGCTGATTAGTGGTTGCCAGAGGCTGAGGGGAGAAAAGAATGGGGAATGACTGTTTAATGTGTATGGGACATACATATTATGGGATGATAAAATGTTCTTGAATTAGTGATAATGTTTGTACAACCTCATGCATGTTCTAAAAGCTGCTTATTTGTGTACACCTTAAAATGGTTAAAATAAGGAGCATTGTTGTGTGAATTCTATGTCAATTTTTTTAAAAGAATATGCAATGCTCAAACATGAAGATGCATTTTAAACTTTTTCAAGACAAAAAAAAAGTCTTTGGAAACAAGCGCCCAATAAATATTAACACAAGGGATCCCTCCAACTACCTTGACATTCTCCCCGTCTCTTTGGTCAGGGGCACGCTCATTGGCTCAGCAACCCTCTCCCATTGGCTGGATCCAGGCCGTGAGGGAGAGCCCAAGTCCCCCAGGCCCTGCAGCTGGTGCAAGAGGAAGAAGGGGATAATGCAAACCCTCCTTAGGGGTCTGGGTCCCAAAAAGCTGGCTGAGCATGTTCAAACCTTTCTCTCTAGTGAGAGGTCTTTGGTTGGTGGGAAAATGCCAGAGGTTGGCATTAGGACAGCCTGAATTGAACCTCTGCTCCTGATTCTTATGAGGCTTCACTCGAAGTGCCTTCTGGATGGCACTTTCCTTTGAGGTAAAATGGAAGTGAGAACTCATGGGTCACAGGTGTGCTGTGAGCCAATGGCTTGGTAAATATAAAGCAAGGGGTACTGCCAGCACTCTGCACTTGGGCCCTCAAAGGCCAGGCCTGGACCGGCGTACATTCCTGAAGGCCTGGGGCTCATACGCCCTCCCATACCCTCACCGCATTCCCCAACAGTGACGCTCCACCCTGCAAAGACCCCGCACTTTCCCAGAAGCCCTCGGTATCCCAGGACTCAGGGCGGCTCCTCGCCCCGCACCCCACCACGGGAACGCGAAGTCCGGACTAGCGCCATTGCGAGGCTGTAGAACTTTCTGGAAGGCCCAGGGCCTCTCCTCTCACTACGACGACCGGGCGGGCGGGGAGAGGAGCTGGGCCAGTGATTGGAGGAGGCCCGTGGGGGTGTGGCCAACGGCAGGAGGAGGAGCCGTTGGCGGTTAATTTCGGGCAGAAGCTGGGCGGGTTCAGTTAAGGAACCGGCTTGTGGCGAGTCTGCCCAGGAAGACCTCCAGAGTCTATGATGTGGAAACCGGGGCGCTCTCTTCCTCACCCCAGGTTGGTGGGCCTCCTGTCCTCCCTCTTCCGGACGCGGCGTCCCGTCCCGCCAGGGGCGAGCGGTGGGCAGGGCCGCGCGCGTCCGCTCCCCTCCGGCCTCACCCCGGGGCTGCCGTCTCCACTCCAGCGGAGCCCGCACCCGGCCCCGGACAGCCCCGCAGACGGCGGCCCGCTGCCTCGCAGGCCAGGGATAAGTCGATGCGTGGCCATTGGAAGCAGGGTCCCCCCGCAATAACCACGCTGGGCGGTAGCCTGGCGGGAAGCCTCCTCCCCGGGCTGCAAGCCTTCGCCCTCCGCTCCCCGGGCTTTGAGTTGGTTTCCCCGCCCGCGCAGGAGGTGGGCGGCGGGCAGAAGTGACCCGAAGCCGCTCTCGCGCCCCTCCCACTGCCTCGGTCCTCACCCTTGCATTTCTCCCCTCGCCTCTCCCGCCGCCTCTGCATTTTACCTGTTACGGCCGAAGGAGGAGGGTCACCTGAGCGCCATGAAAGACAGCAGTACAACGTGGACGAGCGCGTGCCGGCCGGGCTGCCTTTCTCAGCGTATCCCTGAGGTCCACAGGCCGCCTCTCCCTCAGGATCTGGAGGTACTTTCCCCGTGGCTTCTTTCTACCACATTTCTTACCTCCCTTCCTGCTGTGACTGGTGGAGCGGGAAAGGCTCTCCAGGCCTGAGATCAGGAGAGCTCAGTCTTAAGTGCAAGGTCCCCAGTGGAACCTCTGGGTAATCATGGGGAACATCTTTGCAAGCATGCCCTCCCACCAGAAAAGTGACAAAATAATCGTGCCTATTACACAGTCTTTGTGAGGATGTGCGTGGTTATGTCTTTTGAAAATAGTTGTGCTACATATTCCTTGCGACTTTAACTTTGTTGGCATGTTGCCTTTCTGTGTGATAATTGTCTTCTGATTCTCTTTTACTTTCACAGGGTTGGTCACTGCCTGCGATCACCAGTTCAAGCCCTACCAGCGTACATGGAGGCAGTGTGTTTGTCCCCTGTTTGGGCACTAGGAGGCCAACCTTTTTTTGCATCGCCCATCCCAGAGGGACTGTTCTCTTCTTCTGAGGCTTTGCAAGGCTTTAGCTATTTGGAAAAGGATCTGTTGGTGGGATCTGGGACTTTGTTCTCTGTATTTTGATCACTTCCTTTACCTCTCAAGACATCCAGAACTCTACCCTCAGGGAGGAGATTGGACCTTTAGGCAGCAGGAGAAAAGCCTAGCCTTCACAGGTCATGGTTTTCTCAAAGGTCAAGTTTCACATCACATTGAATAGAAAGGACAAGGCTGTGAGCTGTAGGCTTTCAGATCAGTCAAGAAAATGGGTCACTTCCCTTTGTCACTTTTAGTGTTTGTCCCAGAGCTCAGCTCTGACCCAAAGGCCTTTCCAATTACCATCAACATAGAAACTTGGCTTTTCATATGGGGTATTCTCCCTCTTTTATGCACTTATACACTGTCTTGTTTCTCAGAACTGGCCTCCCACGAAGGAGGACTGAAGGGCTCAAGAGGCCTGGTCAGTCATCCAGGCCCAGTTAAAGCCCCTCAGCCCTAGGTCTAGTGGAGAGGTTTAATAAAGACTGCATGTGCTTTTGACTACTGAAACTTGTGACTGGTGTGCTGATTCAGAAGTAAATATTGGGGCCCTTTTATTTTCTTCCCACCCAAACCAGGTGGTGTTTGTGTTTCATGAAAATGGGAATGAAGGGAAGGTGGCAGGCGGGGCTGTATAGAGGTGCCCCCTGGTCCTCTTACATCTCTCTTTGAAAAATGCTCATCACTGTCTCAGAGACCTAAAACTAGTTGGTTTATGAGACACCTGGTGGAGTTTTCTCTGAACACTTACAGTGTAATAGGGCAAAAATTAAGGAACAAACTTACCCACCAGAATGGCAGGTCATTAGGAGGGATGAGGGAGGGAGTAAACAGTGGTTTGTACAGAGGTCTTGGAACTTTGAGTTACTATTTTCATAACCTTGATTTTATAGTCCTTAATGCAGGTAAAGGGAGAATTATTGCAGAACAAATTATAGGTGGCTGGGGGTGATTGTCCTTAGTAAACTGAATCAGAGTAGTGGTATCCCATCATGGGCCTGTGCCGTGCACCTGGGAGGTTGTGGGAGACTCTTCTGGACCTCACAATTGGTCGTGAAAGTCCCAGAACACGTCACTTACTGGGTCCTCAGAGGTTGCCAGTACCCCTGCCCCTTATATCCCCATTGTGCCATGGGGACCAGAGCTGATTTGTCAGGAGGACAAACATCCCTAAAATGCCCCAGCTGGGGCCCTGGACCTTTTTTCTACCCCAGTGGTGACCACAGAATATTCTGGGAATTGTCTTCTGTAATGTCTCTGTAATGTTCTTAAAAGTAAGAACATGAATGGTGGAGTCTGTACAATGTTAGAACCAAAATCAAAGCTCTGAGCTCAGTGCAGGGTATGAGTTCTTTTCCTTGGAGGACTTAACGAATTAAAGTATGGAGTCATTAGTAATAGCACCACCTGGCAGGGGTGTTTATAAGCAGAGGAAGGCTTATTTGGAGACCTTTGATTTTTCTAGTCCTGAGACTCTGGGCCTAATATATAATTACCATTAATGTCCTATAATTTTATAACAGTGTTGTCATTGATCCACTTCATTAATTATCATGAATCAGTGACTTCTCACATCCGAATGGTTACTGTGTAGCTATCTAGAGCTCTATAATTTGCAAACAAGAATCTGGCAGTAGATACCTTGGTCATTTTACAGCTGATACTGAAAAGAAGAAAAATGACTGAACTCCTTTAATGAGAGTACGCACTTCACTTGCCTCCTTAGGCCTGCTATCTTACTCCTCCATTCCAACCCCCACACTTTAGAAGACAAAAACAAACAAAAAATAGCAAACAGGAACCTGGGGATAATTCAATGCCCTATTTGGACAAAATTTAAGGACCTTAGGAGCAGCCTTGGCTTACCGTGAGACACTGGGACAGGCACAGAAGTCGCTCTGCTCAATACATTTCCCCAGGCGTTCCATTTTTAAATGTTACATTCACTTTTAACACTTGTTGCTCACAGTTTCTGATTCCTTCCAGAAAATTAGCTGAAATTCTAATGTCTTTGCTGTTCCTTAGGTAAACTTTGGAGCAACTCCAGTTACTGAGTAATTATCCATCCATTCCCCTAATGAGTTATAGGAACTTCTGCAAATTATTGAACTTCTCTGTGTCTCAGTTTTGTCAGTGGATGCTCTAACTCCTAAATCACAGTAAGGATGGTTAAGGATTATGAAGATTAACTATATCAGATGCTTACCACACTCTTCATTAAATAACACGGGTTCCCTCTTCCCTGCATGGATGGTCCTTTGGGTTCTGTGAAGAATGTTCCTATTCATGGTGCTTCATAACCAGAAGCGAGTTCTGACTCCTCATTCTCCTAGCTGGTTCAAGATAAATCCAGATGCCATGAAACTTTCTGAAAGACTTCTTCCATTCTATACAATAACCCTCTTCCCAAAGAGACTGTATATAGCAGATTAGTCTACTCTCAATTATTTTCCACTCATTCAGTGGCCAACTATTCCCAGAAGAGACAAATGGATTTGATGGGTGAGCTATGCTCTGAGCCTCTAGTATTCATGGAGGAACCCCACCCCCATCTTCTTCCACTAGACCTTGAAATGTAGGTGTAGACACAGCCAGGATTTCCCACTGCGCTTTTTTTCCTACCTGGGGTCAGGAGTCTTTGCCTTCCCTCAAGGAGGAATAAGAACATGAAAGCATACAGGAAAAATACTCAAATCCTGACAAAGATCTCAACTTCTGGGTAGACACTACTAGCCTCAGGGCTTCACTAGGTAGAAGGCCTACAAAGACACTCTAGCTGGAACCCTACCCTGGGCCTCTGCTCTTTTCCCCTCTTCTACATGTGGGCTATGGGTGGGCTGGACCCACCCCCTGGACCTGCACCGTTGTGTCCTCCCAATTGTTCTTTTGATTCTGCCCCTTGCCCCTTCCCTATTGCCTTTGCCTAGACCCCTCTCACTCCCCCACCTTTTTATTGCTGAGCTCACAGTAGATTATGGTGTCTGACCCTTGTCCTAGCCTGCCTAGCCCTGGAAGGTTGACAAAGCCTCATTTTTGTTCATGGAGAAACAGTAGTGTGGTGTGAAGGGAGCTCCAGTTCTGTGGTCAGAAGATTTAAAGTTTGAGATCCACTTCTGTTCCATAAGTTCTACAGAAACTTGCAAGGAAAAAAAACTTTCATCCTCAGTTCGGAAAATCTGTAAATTGGGAAAACAGTAATGCATAAATTAGAGGTTTTAGGTAAGGAATGGAATGATAGATTCATGTGAAATAATTTATTTGGAAGAGTGAGATGCTATATAATACCTCTATATTTGCAGCTGACTCAGTTTATCTCAAATGTCTCCTGTTGTGTTTCTCCCCTGCAGATAAGGCTGGTGTAGGGAAGGTACCTCAGTTGACCACCCCTGGAATTAGGAATTCTTGTTTGAGCTCCCTCCAGTTGGTCTCCTAACCTAAACTAAAGTTAGAGGGCTCATGTGAGAGCATCTAGTCTTCTTATGCCTTGCAAAGACCCCCATTTTCTATAAACCTCAGGGAGAATGGAAAGCCCCAGGGTTAAAGTAGAAAGTCCCAAGAAAAGTCCCGGTCCCTGCTTCCCTAACAGGTCAAGGCTGAGCTCACCTAAAGCTGTTTGCAGGATTCCTCAGAAGGTAGAATTTCATCAGAACTCTTAAAAGTGTAAGGATAAAGAAGAATTGGGCCCTTGTACTTAATTATTGATGAGGTCCTCCTCATTTCCTCCCAGACCCTGGTGTAACCCCCAGTCAGCTCTGTTTACCTTCAACATGGAAGCCAAACTCTCCATGTGTGGGTCCTCTATCCGCAGCAATATGTCTTACTGCACCCTGACTCTCCCTGAAGTGGGAAGTATTAGCTCTACTCAAGGGGCCTGCCCAGCCATGCACCTTGCACCCAACCCCTTCTGACTTCCAGCTGGGTTAAATACTTCTTTAACATTTCTTCTACATACAGGTTGGGATTAATGTGATGATTCAGAAGTAAAGACCAAACTGGAAACCAATTTTAATCTTCCCACTCTAAGCAGGTAGATGGTATTTGTGCTAGAGGAAAGATAGAGAGGGCTGGTCAGTGGGCTTCCCTGGGTCATCCTACCACTCCTTGGAAAGTACTCACCTTCTAACTCAAGTGGGGACCTGCTGGCCCACTCTCAGCCTCTCACTGGATAATTTACCTGGCACTGGAACATTTACATCCTAGGAGGGAAAATGTCTGTTAACCCAATGAATAAAGGAAAACCAGTGGGAGGATTCTGGCGGCAGCATCTGTATCATTCAGAGGTCTGGTTGTTAGATTTCAGCTGATAGGCCAAAAACTGGAATAAGGGTGAAGGGTAAGCAGGGATTGGGGAACTTGTGAGTAAGAGAGCCCAAGGGTGGGGTCTGGAATAGTACAGGTCCTTTTATCTGCAACTGGGACTATGGATCCCAGGACATAAATCAGCACCAGGGGCTACCACATGCTTTTTGCTTCTTTCCTGCCTCCTTCCTTCTCTCAGTGTCCACACTAGGGCTGATTTGGCAAGGGAACAGCATCTTCACTCCCACCACATCTCCTGCCCTACCAGGGTGATTTGCCCAGCCAGGGCCCGAGCTCTGTATCTAGTGTCCTACCGTCCTAGTTGGCCACAGCAGTTTCCAGGAGCTGCTTTCTGGGCTCTGGATTACTTGTGAGGGTGTGAATGATGGCTCCGCAAGAGCCAACTAGGATTATGGAGCCATAACCACCAGGCTTTTGTCTGATTGGAGTACAGGGAGCCACTCCCTGCCTGGAGTGAATTCTGAAATCTATCATACGCAGTCTTGCTTATAATAAGATTAATAACAGTTTTCATGGATATTGAACAGGGGATTCTAATACCCACTAAAGGAGGCTAGATTGGATGACCTCTTATAGCTTTGCTCAGATTTTCTGAGCCTGAATTACCTAATATCATCACTAATACACTATAATTTATAATAATGTTTTCGATGATGCATATTATTAATAATAACGACTATCACCCTCCTTTTTTCAGTTCAATTTGTGATCTATGGAACTAAATGGTACCCCTCAGGCATACTTACCAAAGTTGATACTTATCATTGGTACTTTACTGGAAAGAAACTGAGGCCAATAAATAGGCTCTGAATCCAGATCCTCCTAGTGAACAGCCCCTCCACCCTAGGAATGACTGCACCTACCTTGGGTGATTCAGGACCCCTAGTTCTCTGCAACTGCCCCTCTTCTGGGCTTGCTTTGTTCCCTCCACCCCACCTCTCATCCCTCTTTCAGACTCCCAGAATAGCTAGAGTTGCCCCCTCCCACCTCTCCTTGTCCAAGTAAAGCCCCAAGCTGGGGATTTCAGTCCCTGACTGGGTCTCAGTTTGACCCAAAGCCAGTCACTAATACTAAGTCCCTTTGGAATTTAAAATCTAGTGAATACTTCCAGCCAGAGGTGCCACATTGGAGTCGTGGCCCTGGCCAACCCACCATCCATCTCCTCCTGGATGGTAGGCTTCCCAAAGCTA